TTTTTTTTGTTATAAAAGCTATATGTGCTCATTATGAAAATATCAAATGACACAGAACTGTGTAATTTGCTCATCTCTTGGTTTTCCTAAATACATTTTAACTTAATTTGTCTGCTTCAGTGTATATATGTTGTTTCTTGTTGACAGGAAATTGATTTAAAAAATGAAATTATCGTTTTGGCCAATACGACAAATACAGAACTAAAAGATTTGCCAAAGAGGATTCCCAAAGATTCAGCACGTTATCATTTCTTTCTGTATAAACACTCGCACGAAGGAGACTACTTAGAGTCCATAGGTATGCGATGCGATGCGTTGTCTTGGCACGTTGCGCTTAGTCTGCACCGCGGTGTCCCGGCGCTGTACTCCTCCTTACTCCTTGCGCAGAGGGCTTAGTTTGGTGGTGGCGAGCCTGCGGCACGCGTAGGCTGTCGTGTCCCAGAGCGCGGAGGCGGCCGTCGCTGGTGTAGCTGCGGTTATAGTTTGCGTGTGAGCTGTAAGTGATGTGGTGCTAATCGTGCTGTTGTTGCTTTGACCTAACAGTTTTTATTTATTCGATGCCGGGATACACGTGCAGCATACGAGAGCGGATGCTGTACTCCAGCTGCAAGAGCCCGCTGCTCGACATTGTGGAAGGACAGCTGCAGATGGAGGTGGTCAGAAAGGTACTCAGCACCGCAGGCCTTCGGGGTCCCTGAGCTTCTCTTGTCATTGCCATGTGGCATGAGGCCTACTGGGGTTTACAAATACGAACGTTTAACTGTTGAATTCTGAGGATCTCCTCTAAGTACCTGAGTAGGACCCACCGTGCTTCCCAGCTCTCTAGATGTAGGATAGCGAGAAAGCACGTGTGGACTTTTTTTTGAGACAGGCCCTTGCTGTGTAGTTCAGTCTGGCCTTGAACCCATGGTGATCTTCCTGCTTCAGCCTTCTCGGTGCTGGGATCACAGGCATCCAACACCACATCTGGGCCCTGGGTGACAATTTAAATTTAAATTAAATAAATTTGAATAAAATTTAAATTCCCATTTTTAACCACACTAAACACAGCGGAAGTACTGATTAGCTACATGTATGTAGTGGTTACAGTATTGAGAGGTGCAGCATTTCTGTTATTTTAGATACTTTTATTTTATTTGCATTTGGAGAGACAGTCTTGCTGCGTACAATAGTTGAGGCTGGCCTTGAACTCATGGCGCGCCTCCTGCCTCCGTTTCCTGAGTTCTGGGATTACGCCTGTGCGCCTCCACGCCCGGCTTTTAAAGCTGCTCCTGGACAGTGCTGCTGGAGCAGCTTCGAGACTGTCTGGATGTCTGTTAGTAAGAAGCGGCAATCTGTCTACGACTGAGACTCCAGGGTGGTTGGAGTCTTCGGAGTTGCTGGGGAGGAAACAGTAGGTATAAACTCCTGAATTCTGAGAACTAAGGTCTCATTTTTCTTACATGTATTTTCTTAAATACAGAAAAGACGTAAGGAAGAGAGTTTATTTTTGAACTATTTGGTTCTTGAAGTGCAGGTCTTTCTCAGCAGTGTTTCAGGTGCTGAACCATTTGAGCTTTTTAAGATCCTAAAATTTCCTGTAGCGTGGGTAGCACCTTTTTTTTGAGACAGGGTCATGCTCTGTAGTCTAGGCTGGCCTTGAACGCACTGTGTAGCCCAGGCAACACGGTCTCTCCTCTCCTGTCTCAGAGCCACTACACCTGGCCGATGGCACCTTCCGCTGTACAGAACAGGCACTGACTAAATCTTTCCGTAAAGGACCGGCTAGTAAATATTTTAGGCTTTCCCAGGCTACATAAGGTCTCTGCCCCATATTAGTTTTGGTTTTTTACAGCCTTTTAAACACGTGATACAGTGTTGACATGGTCTAAATTGGGCTTGGAGGCCATCGTTTACCTACATTTCTTCAACAGTATTCCACCCAGGAGATGAAGTAGCCGTGAGTAATGTTTCTTGAATATGTAGGAACCAAAACAGATCCTACTGAGAATATAATACTGGCTTCTCTTTTAAACATTGAATAGGAGCAGGAAGAGCAAAAGAAATAGCAAGTGATTATAGCTGATTACATACTGGAATCCCCTTCCCTATTTAGCTTCTTTCAAAAAAGATGGCATTGAAACTGTGTATACGGGTCTTGATTCTGTCTTGCTGAAGTGGGTATGCCTTTGTGAATATTTATACTTGAAAACTGACTCGTTGCTGGTGTTGGGTTGTGAATGTTGCTGATGTGTATCCCACTCCTGGTTTCCCGTTCTGCAGATCGAGATAGACAATGGGGATGAACTGACTGCCGACTTCCTTTACGAGGAAGTACATCCCAAGCAGCACGCACATAAGCAGAGTTTTGCAAAACCCAAAGGTCCTGCAGGAAAAAGAGGAATACGAAGACTTATTAGGGGTCCAGCTGAAACAGAAGCGACTACTGATTAAAACTGTTGTCTTAAACATTGCAATACTAGTTTTTAAAATTTCAGCTTTTAGTACAGGAAAACTGAAATCATTCCGTGTTATATAGTAGAGAGAAAAATTGTACTTTTTGAAGAATAGCACTTTTCACTTCTATGTTTTTAAAATTAATGTTATAGCAGCTCATGATTTCTGTTTTTGAGTTAAAGCTAGAGTTTCGACATAGGATGTTTAATTTTGTCGCAGTTTTCATAGTGTTGATTCCACACTTTCACATGATTCTTAAAATTTTATATAATTGGATCAGCTTGAGAAAGCCTGACATCTTAAAGTAGGGTATATTTCTTATTACTCCTTAGTGAGACATCTGTTTTTTTGCTTTTTCTTTTTAAAGAAGCAGGAAGACCTTAAAATATTCATACTCCTTGCTGAATATGTTATGGACCAGGTTAGGTTCTTTTCTAAGCTGAAAACTCAGTGTGCCTCAGAAAGGTGGGAAGTTGCCTACTCTAGGAGCATGCCGTCAGACTGGGAGCGGGTCTGCGACTTTCACAAATAATGCTTTATTGCAGCAGTTCTTTAGATTTGACTCTTTGGGGTTTTTTTTATGGCATTAAGATTGATCAGCTCACTCTGAAACTCGGGTACCAGACATTTTCTGTACTGCAGAATTTCTGTTTCCATTGACTTTACACTGTCTTAGTAAATTCTTTCTGTAGTACTTTAAACATATGTTTCTTTGTAGAGTAAGTCATTTCGTTCTAAGTACTGTAAAACCAAATATTTATGTTCAGATTAAAATTTAAATTGGTCTCATTCAAAAGGAAACAAAGCTAAAGTAAAAATGTTAAAAACTTTCAGAATTTTTTTCTCCAGAACTGTGTATTTATAGGGAAATTGTGTCCTTTATCACTTTTTAGTAAATATGCAAAATGAAAATCGTTTTAAAGTCCTAGTGCTAAACAGCCTACCACAGATAAACACTTAGCCTACAAATCTTGTTTCAATTTAGTACTTTATTTCAAGACATGTTTTCCTCTAGACTTGTATCTTCATTTACAACCTAGAGAGATTTGAGCCTCATATTTCTTTGATACTTGAAATAGAGGGAGCTGGAACACTTCATATTTAATCTGTTAAACCTGCTGCGGAGCCATAACTGGGAGGAATTTTCTAAGTGAACTGTGGGTATCCAGGATTTGGAATTTCTCGACCCAAACTTCATGCTGCATAAAACAAATGTTAGAAATACACATTTCATAGTATAAAATACGAAGCATTCATTGCTAAATCTTAATGTCTAAGGTAATACATATACCTTTCAGAAACTCCATGTGTGTTGAAGTAAAACAT